CTAGAGTGCAGTGGCGCAGTCTCAGCTCAGTGCAACCTCCGCCTCCTGGGTTCAAGTGATTCTCCTGCCTCAGCCTCCTGAGTAGCTGGGAGTACATGCGCCACCACACCCAGCTAATTTTGTATTTTTTGTAGAGACAGGATTTCACCGTGTTGGCCAGGCTGGTCTCAAACTCCTGACATGAGGCGATCCGCCCACATCGGCCTCCCAAAGTGCTAGGATTACAGGCGTGAGCCACTGCACCCGGCCTACGCATGGCTTCTAAAATCTAGTATTACCTATTATCAATTTGTCTTCTTTTATACCAGGCTTATTCCATGTTCTCTTTAATTCTTTAATGCACGGTCTTTATTCTCAAACGTCGGTATGTATCTTTCCTATTTAATGGTCATTTTAAACCAAGGTTCATTGGAATGCACGTATTTGCTGGTGAACAGAGTAACTCCCAGGCACTTGTAACACGTCTTTCAATGTCCTAGTGTTCCAGCAACTCAAATGTCTCTTGGAGGCTTGTGGCTACTGCTAATTCGTATTGATTTTTAAAATTATCCCTTCAATTAAAAATGTTCTACCACCATGTCTACCCTGTTTTCAAAAATTCTCTCCAAATAGCGAAAAGACAAACTACGGGAACACATGCAGAGGATGCATAACCCTGAGAGGGAGGCCAAGAAAGCCGACCGCATCAGCCGCTCCAAGACGTTCAAGCCCCGTATCACGGCCACAGACTACGACAGCTTCACGTTCAAGTGCCGCCTGTGCATGATGGGCTTCCGCCGGCGCGGCATGCTGGTCAGTGCCAAGTGGCCGCGGGTTCATCTGTCTTCTCAGCACACCTCATTTCTGTCGAGGATGGTGACTTTTGTGTTGTATTCCGTCCTAAGTCATATGGATCAATGGTTTTGTCAATGTCCGGGGAAGAAACAGAGGCAAACAATTCCCAGTTTGGAGTTCTGTCTTTTCTAGCCTCCCTTTGCCCTCTTGCTGCTTTTTGGGTCAATTCTTGCAAGAGGCTTTTTTTTTTTTTTTTTTTTTGAATCACTTTTCCTTACTAGTTTTGTTTTTCTTTACCCATCTCAATCTCTGCTGTCACCTTATTTTATTTCCCTCTTTTGTGTCCCTGAATGTATTTTCTTGTGGGGTGTTTGCCTTCTCCCCAGCTGTTCCCTTTTATTTTATTTTATCGTATTTATTTATTTTTGAGATGGAGTTTCACTGTTGTTGCCCTGGCTGGAGTGAAATGGCGTGATCTCGGCTCACTGCAACCTCCTCCTCGCAGGTTCAAGTGATTCTCCTGCTTCAGCC